CACGCCGTTTTTTGATGTTTCATAGTTTCATCATTTTGAGATTTCGATCTCTCCCATTTCAATTTATTCCCCCTTCCCCGGAATTTAATAAACGCAACTGTCATCCGCTACATAATTAAAAAATAATAATCATAAATCTTGAATAGCTTTCTCTGTTGGTTGAAATACAGTAACAAAGTATTTATTAAACTTTTGTGTGTACATATCTGATTTATCCTATCCTGTTTATAGGAATATGTAATAACATAGGGGAAAGTAAATCCTGTAGTATGTTATTAAATTCTAAAACTAATGATGCTGCTAAAAAATATGTTGCACATTAAAACTTCTACAAATAAATAGCGCCACTGAAAATTACTTTTTTTAAAGTGTGCGATTATTTCAGCCTTGAACAGACTTCTGCTTTTTGCTGCAAGCAATTCTAATCCTTTACTGGTGCTCATTATATTTAAATCTGGCACGAAACGACATATGAAAGTAAAAACGGATGTCGCACATTGTTACTTCCGGCATTAAATCAAATTAAATTAACACAAAAATCAAAACAAAAACTTAATAATAATGAACACAAATTACGACTCTGCGCCTTTTGCGCGGGGTCGAATGATTTATCACCATGTCTATTATAAATGATCACTAAAAGAATGTAACTGGATACTAAAACATAGATGATGGCAATTTATTACAGATCTGCCTGTGCTAAAATGAAGAAAAAACCAATTTTCTAGAGCATGCTTGTCTTATTGATGCTCTTTTCTCACAGATCACTGTCAATGTGAACCCGCTTATAGAAAACTTCTAATTTACCCTTTTTACCATTTTTATTGGTCGAGCGTAAGCTAGCGAAATATTCTAATAGGGTCCATTTGACGAATGGCTAGATATTTACTCCCAAATTACTGGACCGATTTCAGCTGAATTTTGGGTGTATTTAAAAACAGAAAACTGCATCCATATAAAGTTCAACTCATCCACGAACTATCAGAAGATAATCCTGACAGACGATTGGAATATTGTGAAAGCTTCATGAGACATTGTGACGACAATCCTAATTTTTTAAATAGTATCGTATTTTCGGATGAAGCAACATTTTACTTAAATGGTACCGTAAATCGACAGAATTGTCATTACTGGGCTCGAGAACAACATCATTGGGTTCAAGTGGCACACACCCAACGTCCTCAAAAAAATTAATGTTTGGGTGGGAATAATAAACAGAGATTCGTTGGTCCCTTCTTTTTTTTTCACGGAGATTGATATTTAGATCATCTTATAACCGCAGTGCTTCCGGGTCTAATTGCTCCGTTTCCTGATCCAGATAATTCACAAAATTTAGATCGCAGGATTTGATTCCAACAGGATGGGGCACCACCACATTATGGCATAAATGTAAGGGTTTTTTTGAATAATCAATTTGATGGAGGGTGGATTGGAAGGCGTGTATCAATAGAATGGCACCTAAGTCTCCGGATTTGACACCCCTTGATTTTTTTGGAGCATTTAAAAAGTCGTGTTTACATCAACAGACCCGGTAATTTATACGACTTGAAAGCACGAATTCGTCATATAATGACTTGTATAAGTCGCCAGAGTATTGAAAATTCCGTCAATCAGGTCTACCATCTGGTCTGGGTTGGTGTCAGATAGTGAATGAGGAACAGTTTGAACAATTTCTATTGCATACAGTTTTACTCCAATGTACTGTTCTGTCTATTTAATATTTATCATTAAAAACAAGTTTATTTTGTTTATTAGGAGTATTAATTTTCTCAATTTTTTTGTTATGCAACCCCTACATCAAATTACATTTTCGTATGCAGAAAAATAAACTTTGTTAAATAATGCAATCAAAATTATAGCGTCTCATTTAAAAAATCATTGATGACCTCATAAATTTTGCAAATTTACGTTTTTTTTACATACAGTGCATCTTTTTTAAAAGTGGCCATAGGGATTCCCATGTTAAATTTTAGACCCTATGTTAACTTTTGTTAGGGTGAAAACCCAGAGTTGAATTTTTCGGAGAAAATAGCCTTAGGGTTCTACTTTAATTTTCACTACCACTTTTTGCAGCAATTTATTAATTTGTGCTTTAAAAAATAAAAATTCTTTTGATTAAAAAAGTTTGGTACATCATAGACGGTTTTAACTTAACATTTTAAGTTGTCATTTTTGACACCACAATTTTGATTTAATCACTAAATACCTTTTTGCACTCATGACCTTTTTTGATAGCTTTCGCGCATTCACCAGAGTGTGGGAGGTTGAACTTCCCGCACACGTGCATTTAACTTCTCGTTGCCATGGTAACCTTAAAATACTCGGGTAGTGTCAACATTGTGACGTGTTGATGGCGCTGTCAATGGCGTTGTTTATAAATAACTCACAGTTAATCTCTTCAGTTTAAAGGTTTATTCGTCGCAAAAAATATTGTACACAACACGTTCGTGAGCCTGCTTCCCGCATTCACGCAAATGCGGCACTCCCTTCGGTCGTGCCTCAAACAAGCGTTCATGCGGGAAGCAGGCTATCCCGAACTTAGTTGCGTAAATTACTATTTTAATGTCCACGATCGAAAAAACTTGTGTTTATAACTCTACCATAAAATTCTCAAAATGTGCTCTTGCCGGGTATGTTGGTATGGGAATGTTGCAGCAAATTTTTCCGCAGTTTCTCTGTTGTCGATAAGGCTTTAATGTATCCATCAGTGACCATTTCTACTTTTTCTTTAATTGTATACTGTTGACGAATTTCGGTCACTAAAAACCAGTAATCGAACAAGTAATCAAAGTTTAGAAACGTCAGGTAAATGTCTGTTTTTACATGGCTGTCTAGAATATTAGTGACAAAAATATCCAAATATTTTTTTTTTTTTTTTTTTAAATACCCTTTAATTTAAAACATGACTTTTAATAAAATCGACAAAAGATAAACCAAATTACATCCAGTAAAAATTTCAGCTCTGAATGTTTACTCAAACATAAGTTAACATGGGGTATAAAATTTAACATGGGAATCCCTATGGCCACTTTTAAAAAAGATGCACTGTATATCGAAAGATGAAGTAAAATAAAATGGGTCGTAACTAAGTGTGCATTATTTTTAATACTTTGTGCATTAAATTTTATACTATGCGCAATAACATTTGTGCATTAAATTTACTATGTTGCGCCATAAGTTTTTGCATTTTGTGCATTATACTAAGTGCAAATTGGAATAATAAAATTATTGTTTTGGGCAATGATTTTCTGTACTGCGTGCATTATTGAAACTTTGTAGAAAATAACAAACAAAAATAAACCTGCTGTATTAAAATATATTTTATGAATGCATACAAAATTAACAAAAACATAAGATATTCATAGCAAAAAAGAAACTAAACAAATTAAAAGTTTTGAAAAAATTAACAAAGAAACTTAAAATAAACATTCTTTCATCAAAAAACTTAATTACTAAACATTATTAATTCAGTGAATAATAATTAATGCTTTTTTTACTGTAGAAGGGCGGATTCCTTCCCTGCCGAACTAGCGCGAAATGAAGCACATGACACGTCTTTTAAAGAGTGAGAGTGTAATGCCCACTTTACTGTGAACTAATGCACATTTTAGTAATTTACGGAACATTTGAAATGCTCGTTTATTTTTTCTCAAATTCAAATTGATTTATTAAAGAAACAGTTATTTTAACGAATGAGCAAATTTAATTAAATAATTCTAAATTGCATTACTTATTGCGTAAATAGAAAAAATAATCTGCCATTATTTTATTTATTGCCCTTTCAGTTTTACAAATGCAGAAATAGTTTCTTCTGTGCTGAAATGTTTTTAATAATGCTGGGACTTATTTCACATTTCATTAAAACTAGTGCGCATTTAAATTGTTCTCAAATAAAATTTATTTTAAAAAGCAGTAAACTAATTTCTCTGAAACTCAATACATGCTTTAACGTTATCATCAGCTTGATTGACCGTAAATTAAAATTTTTATAAAGTCATCCCAAAGGTTGTTAAGTAAGGTGCTATTAACAGTATGTAGATAATGTACGTCTGTACACGCGTAGTTTATTAATTTTATTTCTTAGTTATTTATGTAGTAATTCATAAAAAAAATATGAATGAAATAATTAATTTTATTTATTATAAAAAACACTTAATCTATTTTCCCGAAATTCAAAAAGGATAGCACTGTCATTGTTCAAGGAAAGCCTTTTGTAAGAATCGAAGGGAAGTTTTGTCTAAAAGTCTAGGGGCCGGTTTATAGAAAAGCGAATTAAATATTTAATAATCCTGGATTTATTTAACATAGGATTAAAATGTGGAATATTAGCCCGTGATTGAATAAGTTTTAACTACTTCACTAGATGTGTTTTCTAAACCATGCCACTTTATTTACTTTACACATTTGGCGGCGATAATACGGCTACATGCTGGTAACATATGTTTCGTTCGCACTAATTTACGAATTCCCGTTAATTTGTTGCAAAATCTTTTTTTTTTTACCATTTGTTTTATGACTTCACTCATACCACATTGTTTATTTCCTTTTGAGTAACGTCGCAAGTGTGTAAAATAATCAATAACATTTATTCTCTTGTCATGAATAGATTGTTTTTGAGATACATCAAGTGAATTTTTTAAATACAACAATCCCATTGAGGGATTTTTATATGCCGGAGGGAGCATTCCCCATGACATTGTCATAGAAGTAAAAAACTGACGTTTCTACAAATTCAACTTCAATTAAATTTTGCATTTGCAAAATAATTGTCTTGATGCAATAGCACCACTCTCGTTAAAACTAAAAATGATTGGTTGATACACGAGTGAAAAGATCATGGTTGCATACCATACTTGATGTAGTTGGCGCCATCTAACCAAAACAAGTCGAACAACGAAACGCAATTATTTACCCGACGCGACAATTTCGCCATGCATCAAATATGAAGTGAAAAATTGATGCCTTTTAGTACACGCTGTTAACTATTATACGATACTCACCAGTCATCAATCAATTTGTTCTCGTGATTCATCTGTCGCAACAACTCTTCTCGCTCTCTCTCCTTAAGCGCCATGGTTTCTTGAAATTTTTGTTTCTGTTTTTGGAACTCCCTAAAAAGATCTCCATTGTAACTTCTATCTAAAGTCGGTTCTACCGGACCGCTAAGTACATTTTCCACAACGTTAACAGGTTTTTCGTTCAACGAGTCTCTTCTTGAAGACCGAGCCGTCCCGACCGACGCTGGCGATTCTCGCCCTTTGTGTTCTGGCGTCGAGGCATTCGATACTTTCCGTTCGGGACTCTTAGGTTTAACCGCAGACTGAGTACACGGTGGCGTGGCTAATTTAGGCGTACTAGTTTGTTCCTGAATCGAGGGGAGCTGTTGAAACTCTGCGTAGCTATTACTCAGAAAAACCTCTCCTTCGTTCTCGAAAAGCCGATCAACAGACGTGTTCATCAGTTTGTTATTTTTTATTCCGGTTAAATGAAAACTGGCGAAACTGCTCCGCGACATGGGTCCGTTTGAAATATCTCCAGTACTCAGAGCCATGAGACGCGGGTTGCCGTTCTGGCCGGCGCTTCCGCCACTAGCGAAACCGTACGGCAACCCGTCCAACACGGGCATCAGAGAGCGCGTCATGATGTCGGCTGCTGATCGCGGACGAGTAAACGGCATCGCCGAGTGGGGGAACGTCTTTGGTTTAATTGGAGTTACTAGCATATGTTCAGTCCACGAAGTTTCCAATGAAGGCCTCTCCAATCGTTCTACGTCTACATTTAAAGTCCTTTGTTCGAAAGGTACCGAAAACGTCTCCGAGGGGACGCTTTGCAACCAAGACAATAAACTAAGATCGGAATCACTGAAACCCACACTACCGTCCAGCAATCTGGAAAAGTTCATTTCGTGCGATTGCGATTCCGTCGTCCCTGTGGCCTTAGCTTGACAGTAATTCACACAGGACTCGTACAAAATCCCCTTGATGATCAACTGTATAAGCCTATCGTTTTTCGCGGAGTTGTTCGCGTTGGCATCGGTAGATTTCCTGTCTCCGGGTAAAAATTCGGCCACTAGAGGATATACTTCACGAAAACACTGCACGCGTGCGTTACTCGGATTCCAATCCTTATATTGTAAATGGTCTGTCAGTCGTGGTAAAGTTAAAAGCAAACATAAATTCGAGTAGTCTTCCTTTGTCGGCGCAAATTTCTCCAGATCGTTTAAAACTTTGACGACTTCTTCGACGGCGTTGTCAACACTATTTCCTTGTACGTTTGCTTCCGATTTAATACATAACAGTTCTATGTATTTGTGCTTAAGAATGGTATAGCTGAATTTGCGCATATTAAATGCCTGCAGTGCCTCCAACGGTTGGATGAATTCCAATACGTCATCCCATTGTCCATCGAGAATGAGTTGTCGCAAGAAAAGAACATCGTCCGAGTAATTACCATTTATCACACCGGTTTCACGTTCTAAGCTCAACTGGGAAATATGCAGCTCACGATTGTGCAAGAATTCGAGGGCCAGTCGAACCACGTCCTCCTCCCGGAGGGTGAGCCGAGCCGACGGCATGACGTACCGAATTTGAAATCTGCAACAAATTCAACTTTTATTAACAGGTCATAAAGAACAGAATCCAAGTCGGTTTACTTTACACATGACCGCTCTACCAAAAAATGTAGACGGTAATCATTATCTTGAATGTAATGTTGTTAAATCAAAACGTCAGAATTTACAATAATTTAAATACTTAACTAGCCGACATGGATTTTCAAAAGACACGGAAATTATTTGAGATTCAGACTATAACTGCAAAAACTCACAAGCCCATTCGTTGCGATTTATTATCAGTGATAACTGACTCTACTTTGTCAACATTGATTGAATCAATTGTTGGGTTACAGTTTCTTATAACGGTAACGTGTATAAACGCACGAAATTGAACCGGAAATAAGTGCGTCGGAAATACAAATATAAAGGTGCAGCCTAAAACTGGAGTGAAGCCACAGACGCTATGTCTATTTTTGAATACTGTTATCAGCGGTCTCCAACAAAAACGAAACAGTACTTTTTTTTCAGCAAAACAAATCATGATATGTGGTTTGGAATACGTCCGTAGATTAGTGGAGTTGTAGAAAACATCCGTCAAATACAGTTAACACGCGACTAAAAACCACACACTTGGTAAAGTTCTGATTTTAAAAATACACCGCGTCCTAATTATGGAACAGAAAATACAAAAACTTGAGAAAAACAGGCCAAATAATTCTAAAATCTCGGGTGATTCAATTTAGTATACACATCGATTTTCGTGTGGAACTAGTAACTATGACTTGTCACACTAAGTTAAATACATTTGAAAATATACACTTTTACTCTAATACAAAGCGTTGTGAAAGTGTTAATCATATTTGTTCAACGGAATGGCGTATACCTATATTTGTTTCATTATACAGTAATATAAACGAGTTGACATTTTGGTGTAAAAATTAAAAAAGAAAAAATATCGAAATTAGAAAATCTGAATTTTTGTTAACTATCAACATGTAAACTGAAATATGAGATCGAACACTCCACAGTGAGAAATCACAATTAATCAAATATTCAAAAAAATCTCTCTCAGGTTCCGAATACCACTAAATCCTCATGATTACTACTTTCTGTCAAAAGAATAGCTTGATTTGAATACTGGCATTCTTTTTTGAAAATATTTTTCAAACTTTCCACATTTATGAAACGTCCAAAATACACTTTTTCCTTTGAGGGAAAAAAAAACTCTTCTAATACACATAATAAAGGCTTACTACTCCTCTTGAAAAATAAAAACTCCTATTCACTTTCAGAATAATTTAATGATTAAATAAAATATAAAGGATATTCATAATTACATTCATTACAATACAGCTGTTAATTCTCATAATCACAATCTAGACCTAATATTTTCTAATTTTAATTGCTTAGTAAATAAATCGAACTATCTTCTACCTGAAGATTCATTTCACCCGGCATTGCCATTTGATTTTTTAATATCCTTTTAATTTTAATCCCCAACTGTAACATTTTCATTAAATACTAGTTGGAAACTATTTTAGGAAAGGCAATTTTCCACTTCTATACGGAATGCTCCTCGAAATAGTTCGGTCATTCTTGGATAATAATAACAATGATGCATGTTCTATGCTATACGAGAAGTTACCCTAGATTCTCTACATTTATTCCTGTCAAACATCATAAACAGAGTTCGTCTTGCTACCCTCCCTGGCTTAATCAAGAAATTATTAACTGCTCACGTCTAAAATCCAGGATGGTTAACGAATCAAAAAACTTTGACTCTACGCATTTTAAAAATTTATATACCATCATCCTCGTTCCAAAGTATTAATTAACATACCAACGCTATATTGCGGGACTTGAAAATTCATTTACCAACGATCCTCTAAAGTTGTGGGCTTAATTCAATTAAGAAAAGGCTCCTCGCGAATACCAGGACTTATGAAACACAACAGCACAGAATTTTTCACCCCTTCTTCAATTGTTAATTTTTATTCCACAATACTACTATCAATTACGTCAATATCCGAGAAGAGATAAAGATAGTTTTATTCGAGGAATCGACAATATTACCGCCTCTATTTCTTAAAGACTGTACTTACGTCTTAAACCTTTACATCGTATCTTTAACTTAATTCTAAAAACTTCCAACTTTCCTAAGCATTTGGAAAACTGCTTGTGTTACATTCATTTTTAAGAAGGACGACTTGGACAGTGTGGAGAATTATCGTCCAATTTCGCTTCTTTGTAACTTCTCGAAAGTGTTTGAATCCATATTTTACAAACACATTCGACGATTCTGTTAAAAATCTTATAATTATGTAGTTCTCTTTTTCACTGGAAAAAAGGTCTGTAGTTACTAATTTAGCATGTTTCAGCCAAAGGACCCTTACTCAGCCATTAACTCAACAAGCCGTATTGCAGTAAAAGTGGCAACACTGTACGGAGTCCTATTCCTAGACGGCAGAAACACATGTACATATCGTGATACAGAGCAAGGTCTATTTGAATTTCTGTTTTTCTGCATATTTCTTAAAACAAGTCTTTGAAATTAGTATCAAAGGTATGTAGCACGTTTATTAAAAAACAATATACAGCAAATACTGTAATTATTAAGGAATTAAGAATAAATGCAAAAACTTAATGTAACTTCATGGTTTTAGATTCATCATGCCCAGACGTTTTTGTGTGCTTCAACGCTGAAAAACTTTTGGTTTTCCTAAAGATGTCTTGTTAAGGGAAGCTTGGCTTTATTTTATTCCAAAACAACAGTGGGCTCCAGGATCATCGGCTGCTGGGTGCATTAACCACTTCATTTCAGATGACATTCTTATTGATCAGTCATGTAGAGGATAAGACGGGAAAGATTTTTATCAAAGTTCCCAAAATTGAAAAATGGAGCTGTGTCCAGTTTTCAAAAATTTGCCAGTTTCAAAAAGATCTCAGCTCAGTGAACTGATCCAGAGCATCGAAGACGAGCTATTAATCCTCTACATGATTTACTGTGGATTTCGCCAGGTATTTTGTTATGAATCGCAATTACAAAATTTACTGAGCCGGTACAAAAATGAAAATTTCAATTTAAATTTAGACCATTCAAACAACAAAACGTTGAAATTTTATTTAGATAAAGCTGAAGAGTTTGCGTTTGCGACAACTGCCTTTTGGTGATTTTCGTCTCTAGTTTACTCGTTTCGTTGTTCATTATTCGTTAAATAAAAAATACTCCTATAATGTTAAAGTAACAGTTTTAATCATCTGAGATCTAAGAGAAAATTACGTGGTGCAGCATTCGAAAAGTAACCAATTTCAAGTCAAAGTAGGCGTTGCTGCCGCATTTTGCTAATTAAAGATAAGGTGGATTCACCTCACAAGTAAACCGAGTCGACGTAGTCTATACCGATTTTCAAAAAACATTTGACCAAATTGATAATCTCATTTGGTTAGCTAAACTGAAACTTAGCACCTTTCCTGACACATTATGTTCTTTGTTTGTTTCATACCTTATCAATCGGAATCAGGGTGTAAAATACAGGGTGTCCCAGAATTCGCGCCATTCCCGTGAATGACATGTTCCCTGTCCCGAACTGTGCCGTAATTCGCAAAAAGAATTGTCCAGGCTTTAACCGTGTGAGAACTGGAAGGCGATTAAGTTGACCAATAGAGAGGCTGCTTTTATATCCGAACGTTTCTATGTTCAAAGTTACCTATGCCAAGAACAAAAAATCGGGTAATACTAAAGTTGAATGAATTTTTTCCGAATCCCCCTCCGTCAACAAAGAAAACAGAAGTATGGTTATAAATTTAATCATTTTGACAATTGTTTGTCATAAACTGTCACGAAGTTCATCACTGATCTGAAGAGACGCTTCTGCGCCAAAGATGACTGATTAATGTACACAGAGAGGTCAAGGTTTACTTTAAGGCAAGTAGCATGGAACAGAAGTTATTTCTGCTGCCATTCTAGTTAAATTGTGTTTAACTGGGCTGTACATGTCATAAGAGAAGCTGTTTCATTTCATCGTAGGCAAATAATACATTTATTACTATTCTACATGGAGTAGCTACCGAAGAGCAGGTATTAGAAGTCATTGTCTTAGAGCCCCGTGAATAATCGTCGGCACCCAGACCAAACATGTGTTTCACCAATTGTTACATCGAGCAAGAGAAGATGGATCTTTTCAACCTAGTCGGAAAGGCCGTGCTGGGGCTCCACGGAATGTACGTGTAGGTGCTGAAGAGCGAGTGTTAGAAAACATGGAAGCGGATCCTAGGAGAAGTGTCCTCTACGTAGTGCAAATGAGTGGATGCTCAAGATCGACCACTCATCGTATCCTTCAAGAGAGAATACTGCATTCTTACAATTACACGAGAGTGCAGCGTCTGCGACCAACCGACTACCCGCGACGAGTACATTTTGCTCAATGGTTTTTGCGACAAAATGAACTAAATCCTGATTTTTCACGGCGCATTCTTTTCACCGACGAATGTTCATTTTCCCGAGAAAGAATGTTTAATACACACAATTGGCATTTCTGGGCACACGAAAATCCACATCTCACTAGGGTGAGAGCATATCAGGAGCGATTTACTATTAATCTATGGGCTGGAATCATTGGTACTACTGTGGTAAAAATTTTAATACATTTGATAAAATTATCACTAAACTCCGTTCCTGTTTTTTTAGGTGGGGCCGTTTGTGTTACCTGATCGCCTTAATGGGGAGGCATATGCTAATTTTCTACGACTAGAGCTTCCGGCGTTGTTGGAAGACGTTCCTTTGAATGTACGGCGGAATATGTGGTTTCAGCACGACGGCGCTCCTCCACATAATTCGATACTTGTCCGGCGAACATTGAAAAGAGTCTATCCTCATAGGTGGATTGGGCGTGGCAGTACTAATATCTGGCCTCCTAGATCTCCAGACCTTTCTCCTTTGGACTTTTTTTTGGAATCAAATTAAAAATTACGTATATAGAGAACCCCTAGATACGTTAGAAGAACTGAAAGAGAGACTGCACGAAGCCTACGCTACAGTTA